TTTTATTTATTTGTCTCTCTATGAACCCTCCAGGGCTCTGTAGAAAACAAACATTAATACAAAAAGTGTTCCTTCATTTCTATGAAGGACATCAACATAGTTTGCATTCTGGGGACTGGGGCACAAATGAAATTGTTAAACTGAAAACTACTTTCATGCCAACAGAGTTTTTTATTTCAGTTGTGTCCCCGTTCCCAGCAATGCGGTCTGACCTGATGTGTCGGCAGTTCTGGCTGAGAGACATTTTCTCTCTGTTGATGGCACTGATGGTATTGGTGTACTCAGGCATGCAGGGAAAAGTAGAGGAACCGGTTGGTCCTGGTGAACGACGCATACAACCAGGATGTTTATCGTATGAATAAAAGAGGCTGTTGAAACATAAACTAGGTCAATTATGAGAGGAGGGTTAGGGTCATTTGTGACAGTTTAGTCCATTTTAGAAAGAAATAAAATAGCAGGTAAATATTAGTTTTAAAAATATATTTGTTAAATACACACATACATTTGAATACAGGTATAGGTGTATTGTAGAGAGGTGCCAAAGCAAAGAGGCTGCCAGTCTGTCCGGAGCCAGGGAACAGTTGGAGGTCACTTCCCTTCACACTAACCCTCCGTTTGCGCGTTCGCGAGGAGGGTCCGCCACATTAAGTGCTGTTCCAAACCAACGAGGGGGAGTGGGTTATCAAGCCCTCCAACAGCGAGTCTGCATCGGACTCAATGCTGTGTTTGTCCGTCAGGAATATGTTTACAAAAAACATATGCCATAAAATATTTTTTATAGTTTTATTTTTGTTATTTTCAATCCAAGAGATGCTGATTTGAAACCGTTGTTACATACAGTTACGGCATTTCCTGTTTCTGGCGGAGAGAGGGGAGTTTGTCCCAAAGCTAACCGCTGTATTTACACCCTCCATCTGAAAGGAGGGAGCCTCGTTTAGCTGCGAGTGTCACTCCGCCACGGAGTTCACTCCATCACGGAGGGGGAGTGGGTAGGGTGTGGTTTAGAATTGGGCCTTCCTGTTAAATGCCCACAGGCAGGAATTACTTCGGCCCAATTCCAATCCACCCCCTACACCCTACCCCTACACACTACCCCTCCGTTTGCGTGTTCGCGCCGAGGGTCCGCCACATTAAGTGCTGTTCCAAACCAACGAGTTTCGAGGGGGAGTGGGTTATCAAGCACTCAAACAGTGAGTCTGCATCGGTGCTGACTTCACCTGTTGCCCAACCTGATTTTCAAATTCCAATCACACCCCACCCACTCCCACTCCGTCACGGAGTGGGAGTGGGTGGGGTGTGATTTGGAATTGGGCCTCTCTGTTAAATGCCTACAGGCAGAAGCTACTCTTGTAACTCACCAGCGTGTCATGGAGTGGTTGGGAGACATTGTCTAAAATGTGCTTGGACCGCATCCTCCTCTGTCCAGCACCACCCCCACCATCACTGGCTCTGTGGATCAGCTTGTTGAGTCTGTTGGTGTCCGGCCTTAGTGTTTGTCAGGTTCAGCTGCTGATGGTTCATCTCACAACATGTGTGGTAAATGCTCATCCATTTCATACCCCCAGTTCGTAACAAAGGCTTGAGGACATCAACAGGCTTATTTTCGGAGACTTAACACGTTTTCTCAAGAACCACAGCAGACAGAGGCAACTATTATTCACAGACTAAAGAGCTACGCCTTCACTTTTAAACTGATCTTCATTTGTAAATAAGCAGCGTCCCTATTTTAAGAAGGAAAGTTATCAATTGTTCCACGCAAAATGTAATCAACTTGAACAAATTGAAAATAAAAAATCATACGTCTCTTGTTTCAGGTGAAGAATGTGTCTGGTGACCCAGAGGTGCTGGTGAATGACCACAATCCCAAAGTCAGGGGGTCCAGAGACTATCTGGACCAGCTGGACCAAAACAAGCCTCTTTACTTGCCAGGGTAAGCTGTGCACCGCACAATGGTTTGTCATTTTTTTTTTAAACTTCCCTGTTAAAATAAACCTAGTAAACACAAAAAACTAGAACTAAAGTTATAAAACTCAAATTAAACCTTTCATAAAAAACTTTAACTAAAATATGCACACGGCATTGTGCAAATAATGATGCAGAAATGTGGGTAATCATAACACATCAAGTTAGATCTTAGAGGCTTTACAGATATGAAAATACATAGAATGTAATGGTGGTAATGCATGTGAAATAAATGGCCCAAATCAATTATTGCATTTGCAGAGACTCAGACATCAGCAGTTCTGTAGGCGGCCTGAAGCCCAGGCTGAAGGACTATGACACTGGAGTGGAGTCCGGAGAGGACCTGGAGGATGAGGACTTCTATGTGTGAGTTGATTTGAAGGGATCTGGTAGCTGATAATGAAAGAGCTGTGTTGAACGATGATGATGAACTTATGATGTTCGAATAAATCCATCTGGGGTGATTACATGTATCTTAAAAAGGCTAGATGTCATATAATAAGTCCCCAAATGTCATTCTGTTTGCACCTGCAGTTTGTTTCCTTCTATCGTGGATGAGCAAGAACGTCTAAACTACAAACGGGAATTTGACCAGGAGCACCAGGAGTACAAGAGCCTGCAGGCTGAGCTGGACAGCATAAACCAGGACTTGGCTGAGCTTGACCTAGCTCTGAACCAACTACTCGAGGGCAGTCCACAGTTCCTGGTGAGTGTGGTGGTGACGACTTTGAGATTTGATTATTTAAAGTGACAATGAACAGTCCACTCCCCTTCAAATTACTCGTCTACATACATACAGTGGGGCAAAAAAGTATTTAGTCAGCCACCAATTGTGCAAGTTCTCCCACTTAAAAAGATGAGAGGCCTGTAATTTTCATCCTAGGTATACCTCAACTATGAGAGAGAAAATGAGAAAAGAAAATCACATTGTCTGATTTTTAAAGAATTTATTTGCAAATTATGGTGGAAAATAAGTATTTGGTCAATAACAAAAGTTAATTTCAATACTTTGTTATATACTCTTTGTTGGCAATGACAGAG